TGAGTCTCTGTCCAGTTCCGCTCGGCTAATTGTCGAACGAAATAATTAATAACGTGACAGTTTATGTAGATTGAAGACACGTCACCCCTACACCGGTGGTTAGCTACGGTTCTGTCTGATTCGAAGTCGGTAATATCGCTTTAGTCATAACATGTGTAGTTATATGTGCAACCGCCTAAGCACTTCAAATTCGCACAGTTAAAGGAATACATACACTTAAGCTTATTACAATGGGTACATTAAAATGACGTTATAAATCTCATACACTTAAATCAACTTGATAGCATATTACGACAGCATTTTTGCAGCATTTGGAATATTGGTCGCGTTCCGCCATCAGGCTAATTCATACAGTTTTGGCCAAATGATTATACATTCGTTATGTAGTCTCCGTTTATTCTTTTCGGTTATCCTTTTCAGTTTGTCATGGTAACAATACCAGTTTCTTTTACTATTCGCAACGTCATGGTAACCAACGACAAAAGTAGTTGACAAGTATGTAAGTAATTATTTGTTGGACACATGTTGTCACAATGCATGGTATTTTATAGGCGGATGACACCTTGGCTGATGTTACATGTGCAGCAGTTATTTAAACCAAAGGTTGCATGTTCTCCTCTATTTGTTATTTCCTACCGTAGTCTACATTTCTGAATTGCACTTGTTTGGTTTTAGATCAATATATAATTCTATTTACTTACTTTTATTTTTCAAGGTATCTTCTCTCGTATCTTCTCTCTCATCGTTGCTAGGTCGTATTAGTGTATTAATGGGTAAGTTATGAACAATGAGCAATGATTTATCAAGGGATAAAAGCATGTGCTTGACACGTCCCGTAGGATGGTTGAGATGAATATGATGAAATCAAAATATATCTCAGTCATCTACCGAACGTCTGCCGAGATGAATACTTAGATAATTAACATCAGTGTAAAATAAAAAATTATCGAGCGTAAACGTTCAGAAAGACATTGGGGTGCAGTGGTCGTTGGTGTAAGGAGTGCGAAAGTAAACTATGAACGCTGGGTTAGCCCAGCGTCAGTATGCCAAATTGAAAGAAATTGCAGAAGCATTTGACTGATGTCCCCTAAACCTTCCAGTAAATGTAGTCTCAGAAGAGCACTAACACTGCGACGATTCACTTCTGTTTAGGGAATGCCGACAGAATCACAAAATATCTAGAAGACAGCTGCAAGGGATTTTAGAACAGCATGGTGTGGCAGTAAGTTCGAGAACTGTAAAAAGACAAATTTTGGATTCTGGAGTTCGAGCTTCCAAACCTCTGAAAAAGCAAAAGTTGACCAAACAAAAGAAAGAAAAGCGACCGGAATGGGCCAAAAAGCTTTAAAAAGGGGTAAAACGAAGACTGGAAGCGGGTTAGAAGCAAAAGCTTTATTTTGGTGAGGAATTTCAAGGACAATTTTGCCTACGTTGCTTGGGTACTTCGTACAGCTCCCCTGTGTTTTATCTTAGGTTGTTTTTAGCGGTGTGTATCATCCGGTCCTCTGACCAACACGCTCATACTATCTGGGCGGTTACCTGGAAAACAGAGGAGGTGAGACTGTATCGTTCAATGAACAAAGCATCCCACTCAGGTCATGATATGGGACGTTATGAGCATCTTCGGAACTGATCGGATCTACATCTCCCAGGGTAACATGAACCAGTAGCAGTACATAACACTACTAGAGCACCATCTGGCCCCTCAGCTGTGTGAATGGACAGAGAAAAAGAATTTACAGCGACAAGAGACTTAATTTTCATGTATGACGATGCTCCATGTCACAAGAGGTGTGAAGTGACCCGTTTTCTTGAGGGTTGTGGCACTGACGTGCTGCTATGGTCTGGAAATAGTTCCGACGTGAATGCAATAGGGCACTTCTTGGTAATTCTAAAGTCATTGAATAAAAATTTAGTAAAATTATGCAACAGCTTACGGAAGCAATTACAGCGACCTGGGCACCTAATGAGATGATTAATGAACATTGCAAAAACTCTCACCCCATACCTTTGAGTGCTAACTCCCTAAAGATTGGCTCGACTTGCAGAGACAGCCAACTGGAACTTTCTGACAGACGAAGTACCGACAATCGCATGGCCACATTTCGTCAACCAATTTAGCACTCTCGTCGAAGAGGCATCCGAAACTAAGGTTGTCCACTCGAAGAAGACTGTTTCATTTGTGCGAAGTAGGACACGGAAATGTATAGCAGTGAGGAACTCGGCCTGGCGGATCTATAAGGAACACCCGAGCACGGAGAGCTGGACGGCCTATGCAATTCAACGTAATCATTGCACTCAACTCGTTCGTGAGGATAAACTGACATACCAGCAGCACCTGACGGAGCGCATGGTTTCGAATCATAAGCTGCTCTACCAACATGTAAACAACCTGCGTAAGGTGAAACGGGGAATCCCTCCTCTTCAAACGCCAGATGGCATGACGCTGACTACGGAGGATGCGGCGAACGCCTTGCGGCTGCAATATGCTTCGAACTTTCAATGCATTCCTTGGTCATCTATTCCTTTGTCAGCAGCTGTTTTACAACCAAAACTTACGCACATAACTTTCACGGCGGGGATGGTATTAACGAAGTTGTTGTGTATGCGTAAGCACAGCTCTCCTGGAATCGACAACATTCACCCTAAGTCCCTTGCGGTAATGGGAGAAAGTTTAGCGGAGCCTCTGGCACGATTCTTCCAACGCTGCTTCGATCAGATGTATGTACCCGAGATGTGGAAATGCGGGATCATAACCCCAATTCACAAGGGCGGTAGCCGTTCTGATCCAGCCAACTACCGTCCTGTAACCCTTCTCCCGGTCCTGTCGAAGGTTATGGAAGCTATTGTTGCTGATGTACTAACAGCCTATCTAGAAGAGTCTGCCTTCCTTGCACATGAACAGCATGGTTTTCGACGGAATCGATCGTGCACCACAAATCTGCTGCTGGCAAGATCGAGTTGGACCAAATTACTTGACAGCGGTGCAGGAGTGGACGTGGTCTACCTAGATTTCTCAAAGGCCTTTGATCGACTAGACCACGAAATCCTGATCTGCAAACTTCAGAGCTTCGGCATTGGTGATCCGCTCCTAGGATGGATCACAAGCTTTCTTCTCCACCGGAGCTTAGAGGTAAAAGTGCGTGGGTCCCGGTCCCATCCAATCCAAGTCGAATGTGGTGTACCACAAGGATCGGTACTAGGGCCACGATTGTTTTTGATGTATATTGACGACATAGCGGCCCTCATTCTTTCCAACTGCCTACTCTATGCCGACGACATCAAGGTCTGGAGAGCGATCAATACACCCGACGACTCCGCAAGACTTCAAGAGGATCTGGATAAGGTGTATGCGTGGTCAGTTCAGAATCAACTCCCATTCAACACAGAAAAATGCAGAGTATTACACTTGCGTCACCAATCAGCATTTTTCTATAAACTGGGTGACCATGTGCTTCACACAACTGCTGAGGAAAAGGATTTAGGAGTCTTGATTCAGTCCGACCTTGGTTGTTCAGCCCAGGCAAAGAAAGCATCGAACGTGAGCATTCGAAATTTGGGCCTTCTCCGGCGCACATTTGGACGCTTCGATCCATCCGTTTTTCACCAACTTCTAGGTGCATACATACGACCACACGTGGAGTATGCAATACAAGTCTGGCAGCCGTGGCTGAGGAAAGACCTCTCTGATTTAGAGAAACCTCAACGACGCGCAACGAAGAGCGTGAAAGGTTTAGGCCAGTTACGCTACGAAGACAGACTGAGATCGCTCAGGATATTTAGTGGTCAATATCGAAGACTACGGGGAGATTTGATTTTGGCTTATCAGATTCTGACAGACCCCAATCATACCTGCCGCCATCTGCTGGAGCTCAGTAACAACAACAACCTGAGAGGCCATCATCTGAAGCTGGCAGTGCAGTACAGCCGTTTGGAATGTCGACGGAATTTCTTTTCCGTGCGTGTTTGCCAAGCCTGGAATGCTCTCCCAGAATCTGTAGTCAGTGCACCCAACCTGATCGAGTTCAAAAATCGAGTTGATAATGCCCTTACTTCATTGCACTATCTCCCATAGTACAGTCTAGTTTTGAGAGATCCAAAATCCATACTTTAAAAATAATTTTCCCCCACGCAAATTTCAACAGTGGATGTATATTTGGACGCTTCAAACTCAAACACTTTGCGCCATGCGAATTTCAAGGAGCAGTGACTCTTTTAACCAAATACTCCATGCCTCATGATTCCCTCCGAGTTATAGTAGATCATTATTTTGACACTTCAAACTCGGTGAGTCCACAAGCTTGTAGTGACTCGTTGTTAAACGATTTTACTGAATTGGTTTCCATTGAATTTTCCACACTTCTATGAATTTCGCACTGATCACCCTACGGGATTTGTCAAGCTTTAGCTTTTATACCCGCATAAATCCATTGTTCCATTGTTCCATTGTTCCAAAGGATAATTTACAACATAGTATTCTTGATGAATTTCTAAACAATATATCTTTTTCTTGAAAAATCGCGTCAGTTTACAATAAAAGCATTAGATTTTTACGAGAAATGTGAATAAATAAAAAAAATTTGCTGAATTTAATGAATTTATAGTAATTTGGCTAACGCTATACCATCAGCAGTGTTTGCAACCTCCCCCATCCCGGTTAATGGAATGAATGGTTTAGAAACGCTGCGGTTGACACCGTCGATTGAACGGTCTCAAGCCTTTGAACTCTACAAAACAGATCAGCAGCGGAAAGAATTTACTTCGTTGCACAGTCTACAAGCTAAACGCGGCCAGAAATATACCTGATAAACTCAGCTGCCACGGTGTTGCGACATCCAGATTCCACCAGAGGACGTATCATTACAACTGCCCCATTTTTAAGGACAAAAGAAACTAATCACTTGGGCATATTCGCTTCTGAAAATGTGTTTCCTTGCTTCAGTATAAGAAATTGTTTACCATCCTGTCTTGTCTATGCTTTCCTCTTTACTACCCTAAAGGACCCTTCGATCAGCGCCTGGTAAGTGTGCTTATCCGGCCTAGAGAAGGGCGACTTATTTGGCAGTCGGGCGGATCTCGCATTGCAACCGATGCTATCTCCCGCAAGTCTCCGTTCACATTTAGTCCTGAGCAGCTAACGCTTCGAGCACACCAGTCCGGTGCAGTGTCAATAACATTCGACCCAAGACATACTTTGGACTTCATGAACGGTCAGAGCAAAGCCAAACTACACGCATATGCCTCTGGCTATTTACATCTTGACAACTGCGACGAGTCTGGAGTGAATAGAAATCAAGCACTCATGGCAGATCATCTGAGGGTGGATTTAAGTGCTGGAGTGGAAAGACCAAGGTACGACTAATTTGAACAAAAATTAATAATAGGTGAGATTGAGTCAGTGTGAGATTACCTAAGCCATTTACAAACCAAGTGTTGAAATGAGAGGTGTTGGGTAGCATACTTATGATGGCCGGATGAACAAACAACGTAACCAGTTCATCAAACAAACTGCTACGTTTAAAGTACAGTAAAACCTTGGAAGTTGACCACCTCTACATCCTGACCACCTTTCTAAGTTGACCGTTTTCTTTTTTGCCTTGAATGTCCCCATTTAAACCTTTTGGTACCAGATCTCTGTAAGTTGGCCACCTCTTTACCTTGATCACTTTGGTCTAGTCCCTTGAGAGGTTAACTTGCGGAGGTTTTACTGCAATAAGAGAGAACCTAACTAGCTCAGTGAGCAATAACCTCGGAGATAGTACCCAGCCATAGCTAACTTAATGCAAGCTAAAATTGTGAAGTGGAAGTGGCCAGAAGACGCAGCTTGTGAGAACTGCCTTCAGAGTTGTGTAACTGTGAACTTCCCACATCTGAGGAATAACGACGAGTGTTGTGTGCATCACCACACCCAGACCTCATAAATAGTGTAAACTGAAGGAAATAACATGTTGAAGAATGCAAGTGGAGCCACGAACCCCTTACAACCGGCCCGCTTTCTACTGCTGACGTTATGCTGTGACGAGTAACAGACGTACACAGGGAGGAGCTATGTCATAGCCAGCTTTTTGTTGGAATCACTATCAAAAAACTGCACAGCTTACACCACCAAATATAGATTGGCAGCGGCCAAGGATCTGTACTGCATGCTGCCTCACTGGGTTGCGTGACTGCTACAAGTATTTGACAAATGCGACGTATAGTCTGTTGTCAAAGTGGTATTTACTTCGGTCTTTGCATACGTGTGTACGGGACCACGGTGTGTGGAGTTTTCCTTCATGATGGCGAAGCATGGAATGTTTCCTTTGGCCAATATCTTAAGAATATTTAGCTCTGTGTTCACGGTTGTCAACAGTGCACCGTCTGTGTCCGGCAACACTAACGTGACTACAACGATAATGAATACAGGCAAGTACCAAGCGATGGCTATCGACAATGCATCAAAGCAAAGAATAGAGCGGCATACTTTGCTCTGTGCAATGCTTGTACAAAGCGTACTCACCAAGTGCCCACCGACAAGAACCAAGTTTGCTACTTACTTTTTGTGGTGCTTGACTGTAAGTAGATAGCGCGGGCAATACCCATTATCCAGAGGTTCTTGGTTGTTTTATGGAGAACAATACGCTCAAAAACTCACAACACGGGCCTGAAGTTAAATTTGTACACCTCTTAATCACCAGATCTGGAATGTGTCTAAACAAGCATCTGCTTTTTTTGGAAACGCACAGTCCAGGAGCAAATGAAGCTATTTCAGGAAGAACATCCCATCTGTATACAAGTTGCGTGTATAGTTTACCAAACGTGGTCATAAAATATCTAGTAATTTATTACGCGTGTAGGGTTACGTCAGTTATTAATCACGTGGAAGCATATGGGGGAGTGTGAATAGATGTATCGCAAAGAACAAGACGGTCTAAGTGCCAAGAAGACAGCCGCTACGTTTTTACCAGTGTGTACGGTACGGCTTCTGCTTTACGCCTTGTTTCACAGTCCAACTAAGCGTAGATTAGTGGAGCCAAGGTTTTGCTCTGAGAAGCAAAATGGAGATTTCGTACGGCACAGTCTGGCATGTTTGACGCATTGTTCAGCTGTCCATTCGGGGAGTGTGCTCCAAATATGACAACTGTAAATCTTTCACGAAAATCCTAGCTGCTATACTAATCCATTGGTCACAGGGAGTGACCTATCAGGTTGAGGTTACTGTAACATTCAGCCAAAACGCAGAACATACAAGCTGGATTACACATTATCGGGTATTTCTTTAACAGTCCGTCTAGTAGGTGATGACGTCGTTCGCCGTATATTCCAGAGGATTTTAACCCGTGTCCGTATAATTCCTGACGCATTCCGATGACGTATTCGGTCACACGTCGGAACTATTTCCAGAAAATCCTCAAAGCCGTGTGACCGAATACGTCATCGGAATGCGTCAGGAATTATACGGACACGGGTTAAAATCCTCTGGAATATACGGCGAACGACGTCATCACCTACTAGACGGACTGTTAAAGAAATACCCGATAATGTGTAATCCAGCTTGTATGTTCTGCGTTTTGGCTGAATGTTACAGTAACCTCAACCTGATAGGTCACATATTCTGTATGGGAACGAAAATATACGTGGAGCTTTTTGGGTAAAATGGTAAAGATCCACTTGTCTCAGCGCTTTTCTGAAGGAGCCAGATTATTGACTACCAGCCTTCTGTGTCTTTGCGGTTGGCTTGAAGCAACCCCTCTTGTGCAGAACTATCACCCCAGCGTTACGTTTAATAGACGAGATTGGCAGTGGATCTTATCGAGCCTGGTTGGAGTAAAGAGTTTGAGATATACGCTACAGAAACCAGCTAGTGGTGGCAAAGTTACTTATCCTCCTTAATGGAAGTAAATATCATTTTAGAGGGATATGAAATGGGAACGCGCGTGTTCTGCTAGCGCTCAGTATGCCTTGGGAGCAAAACCGCCTGGCTGTAGCGAGCAACATTAGGGTCCGGATACGCAACACCAGCCGACTCTCGAAGATGAACGATTACCTCGTGCTGTTGTCTCACGGTGCATTGGTAACCAAATCAGGTCTAAGATTGATCTGATGTTAATAGTACCTGCGAAATGTCAGCCATTAGTTATTGCTGGACAAGTGGATCTTTTATTGCCCGCATTATAATGAGGTATGCAGTTACTAGTCGTAATAAATTCCGGTCTTACCTTCCTTTCAAGCTTGCCGAACTACATACGACAGTGTGTCTTCGTGACTGTTTGAATCTGGAGCCGCGAAACTCCGGAGACTCATCATCATCATCACCAACAGCAGCCGTACATCAGCCATTTGAACTGATGCTTCGCTGCCATACAACCACGATGACCTATGAAATAAAGAATAAGAAGAGGGAGAGAAGGGGGACTTATCTGAGAAACTTAATGCCCTAAGCAAACATTCTGGGTCAAGGCGCCTACACCTTGTGTAGACAATATACAGTCACAAACAGCTAGCTATTGTGTAAAGATAAGGCGATATCGGCGAGACAGCTTCCTTGCGGCTTTCACTGCCATGCGTCATAATCAGCCATTACCCCGCAGATAACTCAGCACCAAACACACTTTAAACAGGCAATCCGATTAGGAGACGGCAGCAGACGCGCCACTGGTGTCGGTTGCGAGCCATGTCCTGTAAAGTCTCGAGCCAAGCACAAGGTGAGTCACGTGGACTCCAGCCCGGAAAGCGAGACGGACCAACGGCACCCAGTTTGGTTGTCAGTGACTTCATTTCCCGCTGCCAAGTCAACTTCTGTCCACCTCGAGCCTTGCGCCACCCTACACCTGGCAGACTAACAAGGCCCTCCTAAGTAAGCGGTGACCAGGCATACGTGGCACGTGCCCGAGCCAACGCAACTTATTCAGTGCTATCTGTTGTTCTAGGGACCTAGCATGATTCTCACCACCTAGTACTTATCTACGCACATCATCGTTGCGGACACGCTGGTGCCATCCGACTCCAGCAATGATTCGCAGACAACGATGATCAAAGACTTGAAGGCGCATCAGATCTTCAGACTGAAGGGGCAGAACGGCCCTCACTGTGGCCGAAAACTTCCTTCTGTCGCCAAAGATGCCGCAGGTTCAAATAGGTAGCTCTGGATTTTGCAATGCGTGAGCTGACGTCAGTATCTATGCGCCCATCATTGCTGATGCAGCTGCCAAGATAAGTGAAATTATCAACCAACTCGAGTTCCCAGTTATCAAGTGGTCATCAAGTGGCTAGTGGTCCTGCAGCAACACTTTGCACTTTGAAGGTGCGAAGTGCATACCAAATAATGGGACCACTCTGGATAGGCTATTCAGGGTTGATTGGGCCGCCCCAACATCGTCGAAAAGCAAGACGATATCATCCGCATATTCTAGATCAAGTAACCGTTCACCAGGCAGCACTTCGACGCCTACATCGTGAGATTCCGCAAGGGAACACTCCATGATAGAATCCACGACGTAGTTGAACAAAAATGGGGAAATCGGACAACCTTGACGAACGCCACTTGTGGTCGGAAAGCTATCCGAGAGGACACCGTAAACCCTGACGCGACCTGTAGTGTTCGAGTATAGAGCACGAAGGATGTTCACATATTTCGTGGGAACACCTTTCCGCGCAAGTATTTCGAACAGAATCGATCGATCGACTGAATCGGATGCACTCTTGAAATCGATGAACACAGCTATTGTCGGTCTGCGGTATGCGTGGCGCTGCTCTAGCACCTGCTGCAAAGTGAATATATGGTCTATACAGCCACGTCCTGGGCGGAAACCGACCTGCTCTTCCCTAATCCGAGATTCCCCTTTCACAGTGACGCGACGAACAAGAATCGAGGCCAGTAATTTTGTCACATCTGGAATTGGGCTAATACCCCTGTGGTTAGAACAGTCTGTGCGACTGCCCTTCTTGTATATTGCTACTAGAATCGATTCGTTCCAATCAGCCGGGACACTCTCTTCCTAGCAGATGTGTTCGAATAGGGAGGTCAGTGCTTTGCAGAGGACCTCACCTCCATCCTTAAATAGTGCAGGTGGCAACATCGAGTTAATAGTAATGACGTTCGACGTCGCATCTTGGGGAATGCAAGTATTTCCTTTAGCAAACTGGTTTTGTTGCGCCATTTAAGATGGCTCGGTCATGTCCTACGCATGGCACCTGAGCGTCTACCGCGTCGCGCTCTATTCGCTCGTCAAGGACCTGGCTGGAAGCGATCGCGTGGTGGTCAGCCTTCTACTTGGCGGCAGCACATGAAATCGCTGACGTCGTGTCTAGTCGCTGTTGGATCCGTATGTCTTCCAGGATGGGGACCCAAAGATGAGGAGTGCCAATGGCTTAGGACTCTTGAAGACATGGCCCGCAACCGGAATCAGTGGAAGAATTGTGCACAGTGTTGTATTGATTCACATGTTTAATACTACAGACATTAAACTGACAAAAAAAGAGCAAAAGCGGCGTGTGACAAACAAACTAAAAATGTTCTGTTCTATTTTTTGTCAAAATGTTCCATTCTTCTTGCGGCATACCAGCTGAAGAGTGTTGCCCACCTTAAACTAGCATGTCACGATGATTATGACGCAATGACTGTCTCCTGTCCATTGATTTCCATGGCTTTGTTGGCTCTATGTCTAGTTACTAGACTGTTGAAATTACATACATTCAGTGCAGGTGGGAGGGAATCCGGGCAAGCGGCACGAAAACGATTGAGGGCTGTGATCGCGTTTCGGACCTCGGCCTCCGACGGAGGCTCTAAACTAACCGTCCATGTCTCGTCCTGCATCACCTGAGTAGGAAGAGATCCTGGAGCAGGGGGCCAGCTGAACTGATCTTGAAAGTGTTCCGCCCAAGGAGCCATACGGCGCTCCTTATTGTGTATCAGCGCACCTGCGCTGTCTCTGATTGTGTCACTGACGCCTGGTTTTCTGGGACCAGTGGTGCAAATTAACTAGAAGAGCTTGCGGCAATTACCTACTGCTCCTGCCTCCTCCATTTCTTGATCGCGACTGATCCACCAGGCTTCGTTGTTAGCACGTAGGCTCTGCTTTAGTTCACGCCTAATGGCCCGTCTGGTCACATTGCGTTCAGAACCAGCCGGGAGGTGTCTTCTAGATTCCAACAGGTTCACCGACCTCTCGGATATCCAGTGACTGGTGCGGTGACGATGGATAGTGCCACAAGCAGATGCTCCTGCGTCATGTATGGCGACCGAGATCCTATCCCACTGAAACTCAGTGTCATTGGGACAAGACAGCGGAAGTTCGGTATGCAGTGCTTCTTCATAGGATTGCCTAACCGAAGACTGAGACAATTTATCCGTTACCAATCGTAGGGGACAATTGGTGCGCCTGCCGGTAAAGTTCATGGAGAAATGACAGCGTACCAGAGCATGATCAGAGTTGACACAGTTACTCCAGTACGAGCGGCAATCCAGAATGGAACCGCGCCACCTGTAACTTATGGCTATGTGGTCAATTTGGGTCCATCGCTGACCAGCTACAGGTGGACGCCAAGTGGCACTTCGGCGCCTACTGTGTCTAAAATCAGTGATACTAAGAAACAACTGGTGTTCCCCACCCAGTTGCAGCAGACGCTCACCGTTGTCAGTCCGTTCGTAGTTAAGCCCACAATTACCACCCAGCTGAGCTTCTGAAGAGCTCAGACACCATACTTGTGCGTTCATATTCCCTGCAAGTACTGTAATATCTGAACTAGTAGCACTGCGTAGTAGCGCATTCAGTTCGTGATAGAATGTGTCCTTGACAACACTTGAACTGCAGTCGATGAGGGTTTAGGCGGAAATCACAAACAAACAACGTTTTGTACTACTTCATAAATCAACCTTGGCTTATGTCGTCAAACGGGCTGCACATAATCGGCTGTTCACCGGAATCCAATGGCCCAACGATGGAGGTTAGAATGATACACCAACTTGACCAGTGAGTGCTGCATCGGCGTCTCCGGATGCGTACAACCAATAACGAGAGGATAAGCCGGGTGCAGTCAATTCAACAACCCCGTTAGGGTCATTGATCCTAGTTTCGGACACAACACACATCAATACCCAGTGTGTCCAAGGTGTGTGCGAGTGCAGCCTGTTGACCTAATTGTCTTAGAGTGCGAACGTTGAACGTTACCATGGAAACGAGACAGCGTGGCCTTATAAGGAACTTTTGCCGATAGGCGTTCGATAGGTGCTGTGAGGTGGTGGCTGCAGATGGTTCAACTCCAGTGGCACTTCGGTTGCTGTCAATTAAGCTGGGAATTATAAAAGAAAGATGAGTAATAGGGGTCGGGATGGGAGTAAGAGAAAAAGGTGGAAAAGAAAGAAGGGAGGCGCCAGCAGTAGCATGTTTTTGCTTATCTGCCGTGCTGTATGCAGTAGATAAGGCGACTCTTGATAATCTGCGCGACGGCCGATGCAGGATGAAGTTTATGTTTGAAGAAAATGGCATGGTTGTATGTGGGCTGGGATACTGCCAGGGCGCCCAGACCTAGACAGTTGGACGATTACGGTCCTCATCCAAATCCTTTGGCTCAAAAGCCTGTCTGCAAGGCAGCGGGGAGGTGGCAATGATTTAGTTTTACAGAAATGGTCGCCATCCCATTTCAAACCCCCAACCTGGAGGACCAGGGGACTGAGTTTGTCTGACCTCTCACCATTGACCAACCTGGTAGGAGTAGCTCTCAAGTTGCCCGGAGTCATCTCCCAGTATAGCTCAATGGATCAATGAGGTACGCAAATCGTCGCACCACCTTAAGTTCCAGTCTCGTTGCGACGGACTCGGGAGACTACTAGTTACAGATGCAAGTTTTTGTAGTATGAAGAATAAGGAGTAAAATTGAAGCAACCACAGACCTTGTCAAGCGGACAGCCTCACATCCAATTGGTACCTGTTAACCCTGAGAACAATTCAAACTGGTATACTTACTTACATTGAATACCAGAATCGGTAAAATCCACAGACCGAGTTGATTTATCCTGTCATCAACAGGCATGAAACGGATATCCTTAAAGATAGGTGCAACACATACGCAGTAACGTTTCTAATCAGCCCCAGCGTCCAGGCCTGGGGACCACGGCCCACACACGATGCTGATGCGCTCGAAACTCCACAACTTAGAGCGAGGAAAATCGTTAGAGGACTGTTTCACCTCCCATCTGAAGGCAGGTTGCACGCTCTAGTGTTGTGTCGCAGCTGACTGCTTCACTCCACGACCGCAAGAAGAAATCCAAACACGTGCCAGGAAACAATCGTATGCAATGAATCATGTCTGTTCAACTAGTTTTAAGAATGTTCTGAAGAGAAGCTACTACAAGACATTTCAGCCAACCATATTGCTAAAAGCATGCAAGCACAATAAAGGCAATGAAATGTGATCAACAAAGGAACCAATATGAGACATGCACGCACGAAAAGATAGTTTTAGCAGCTAAGTGGCATTGTGATCCTAGGGCAAAAACAGTGAGCACAAGCTGCCGATAAAATTATCGGAATGATGTGTTTAAACAAACGTCACTAAGATCGATAGCTGAAAGAAACGAATCAGTAACTAAGAACGGTTTCCAATATATGCATGTGCAATAAGTATCTCCCTAACATATAGGTTTGTAGATTGTAAATACCGGTGCCTGCAAGGAGACCTTATTATGGGATACGAAATACTGACTAATCCCAAGCACACATGTCGCGATCTGTTGCAAGTCAGCAATAGTACCAACCTGAGGGGCCACTAGCTCAAACTGAGCACATGCCACAGTTGAGTTGATTGTTTTCTTCGGGTACTTAGACAGTGGAATCTTCTTCATTCCCATTTTATTTTCGCCCATTTACCTTACGTGACACTGTCCATTTCCATCGAAAGAGGAAGGAACGCAAACAGGGCGCTCACCATTCCTCTCCGTTACGTAGCTATGAGCAGACCAGCCAATGTGCCCATGTGAATAAGACGGTGAGTCACCTCATACCAGAAGTTTCCCTTTTTCTTGTTACTAGACAATCATTTTATAATTCCCGCCTACGTCATCCTAAGGGACCTGTTAAGCATCGCATTTTCGCCCGTTAAAAATCATTGTTCATCGTAGATCATTTCAAAACTTCGATCGATCAGTTCGTGGTCTTCGTACCGCGCAGCGCAGTGGTCGATGGTGAACACCACATTCAAGATTGCTCTTCATTTTCTTGCCTCATTCCCCCCACAGCATATGTCTTGTATTAGATGACGCGATTTCGGAGTCTAACTCTCCTTCCGAAACGCAAACCAGATGCCTCCATTTCACTGCTACACTGGGAGATCTACTCCCATCGAATTCGCCCCAACAACCTATTCAGCCTTTTACCTCTAAAGCTGATCGAGGCACAGTTGAACAGCTACCACCTTTCGCATTGCTGAGTGAAACGACGGTTCAGAGATCTGTTGGCATCCGCTGCGCGAACAACACTCCTGTACAAGTCCGGATGACGATTTGCGAGGACACAAATTTTGGATTTGTGGATTGTAATGGTTCTCTAACGGAAGCCAAGTCTGGTGGAGTTTTAGTGAAAACAAAGGAACTGGTCGTGAATCCATCCCACACAGAGCAGGTAGATCACACAAGTTAACCGAGTATTTTATTTCCAAGTAAAGGTATCCAGTGATGCTGTATCAACAGAGAACTTCCAAGCGCATTGAATCTGACATCATACTGATGCATGATACTGAGATCTGTTGGCGAAACGAGATTAAGCGAAACCATTTTGGTGCGTCGTAGCATAAACGATGTCAATTAAATTTGCAGTTCTATGCACCTACCCAGTTGCAACGCACATGTTTCTACTCAAGACGAATCGCGGTTTGCAGCGACTATATTTTACCAACTATAGGTAAGCTAAAAGAATAATCCGTGCAAGTCGTTAAAATCAAGTCAAGTCCAGAATGCACTTTTGTGTACCCTGGAAGGGTACATTGTAGTCATAACACACATGTTGTCGTGGAAACGTACCGCTGCAATAGCGGTAGTAGCATAAGACAAAAGTTCAATGAATAACGCAATCTTTGTACTTTTGTCTGGTCGATGCGGTAAATGAACCTTTAGAGTTACACTATCCAGAAGGTAGCTAATATTGATATTTTCGAAGTGTTTCGTTCAAAAACTATCAGGGTTGGATAAAATTGTTTGAGACGAAGTGGGCTTTGGAATGCTACGACAGCGAGACAAGGGCCTCAGCGGCCTGTCAGGCAGTTTGAAATATTGACACAATAGGGCTGGAAAAAGCACAGAAGAACAGTAAATAAATAAATAAATAAATAAATAAACTTTTATTCTCGACAATGCGAGGCACACCTGTACAGGCATGATCATGTTAGGTTCAGTGTTGCAGAATACACTGTAATGAATTACAGAATCAACTTGTGTTCCACGGAAAATGATTGCAATCGAGAGAAATGAGACGGCAACTGCATGACTTTGGTAAATATTTTATTCACAGTAAGTGATTACGATAAATAATAGCCTTGTGACTCGAACATAGTTTACTGACATAGAGAAGCGCAAGCTTTCACTAGCGATGTGAAGATGAGCACAGTCCGTGACATGCTGCATTCAGCGTCAAACACTGGAATTTCAACGATTGCCCGAGTTCACCCAAACAAAGTTCAGCTAGTTGAGGATCGTACAGTTAGATGAGTCACACCGATGGTTACGCCATTAACATATTTCAGAAGGACGACTTCTTTGGGGACAAGTATGGAGCCATAACACATGGAGAATAGGAATGGAGACAGAATAGCTCCTTGAAGGACATCGGGTCATGGTAAGCGGTGATGAGCTTCTGCCGCTATATCTGGAAACGTGAGTATGATTGGCTAAATAACCCTTTGATATGTAGATTAGGGAAGGTTGATTACCAGAAGCACTTCAAGAGTAATACCGCCGGAAGCGTTCCTGGATTCAAGAAGGCAGCTTCACGTAGATTTGTTCTTGATGTTTAGCGATGACAGCATTGAATGCACCGGACAAGCCACTGCGTTTTGTGTAGATCTTGAACCTACTCATGCTAACTAATGTGGCTTTTCTAAACGGAACGTTGCGGAAATCACTTAAAGAATATAAATGGCCTGCAAAGCCACCTAAGCACACGTAAAAGCCGATATCACTCTAGCCCTTACGATACTGGCGTATGTTAGCAATTTTCCAACAATCCTAGGTTAAGGCACATTGAGTACAACTCAGCTAGATGCTGGCCAAGTGATCGCAAAGTGCATGAGGACAATTATCTCATCTGAGTGCAGTTGGCTCAGCTTCTTGTGCAATGCTGCGACATCAACTGAAGGAGGTGGTCACTGAAACAGTGTAAATTCAACCACTGCTGAACCGGCAAAATTTCGATTTGGTTAGTTTGCCTCCGTGACAGAATTTGTGCCATGTCCTAGTGACTCCGCTGAGTTGTTTCGTTATCCGTCAAATCTCACGGCTACTGTTGTTTCCCAAATCTGTTTGGATAAAGAAGTGGTTGAGGCGGTGCAATTTTTCTTTAATTCGCGCAGAAAGGTTTTTCACTAAGGCACGCTCTCTGCCTATTAAAACTCTCTTCTTGAAGTGTGATAGAGAAAACAGATAAGCGCGAATGAAATGGTTCCCATTGCATAGAAGAGATTATCACATAGCTTTAGACAACTCGTCGTTTGTTTAAAATATTGTGGCACTTCTGTATCTAAAACAGACTGAAAGCTGTACGAGCAACCAGTTCCTTCAGTCGCGCTATGTTTTGAGGAAGGGATAGTCGTCCATTTCATCTGCGATACTTGCAGCAAGTAACATCCTTGGTGTTTGTTAAGTGGAGCCCGACGGCCGACCGAAAATATCCTCATATTATTGACAAGTTCTAAATTCAGATTTGTCTATGACCTGCTGAGTCGTTTTCCAATATTCTTTAGCCCTAGTTGTAAGGAATGTGGCATTGACTATACTGAAATCAGCAACCGATAGACACAGGGAATGGTCGATTTGCTTTTGGACGGTAGCTATGAAGTCACCGTAAAATTTGTCTGTTTCTGAGTTGAAGCAACATGGGAGATGTATAAATTATGAACAATAAAACTGATCAGAATCCACCTACACGTTTCAATATGCACTTTTAGAGTAAGCAGACGATACGCCGTGACGAACATTAAAGCCAATATTTCACTGTCATGCAGCGAGAAGCCTTACTAAGACTGGTGACACCACCGGCGCACTTCCGATAGATGCGTGGGTGGTCTGCAGAAAAGTAAACAAATCCGTAAATTGCTACAACGGCGGTATCGCCAACACTTGGAGCCGAATTTCCTCCCTTTAACTGCGAGTTTTCGCGACAGTTGGTTATACATTTAAACTCCTCCATTTTCCCCAGAGGCCTGTGCACACTAGCAATTAAAAAGCAGATTTGCTCACACTTGATAAGTTTCTATTCCATAGGGAACCAGCGCTTCGGCAAGATGCTTTTTATGCAGATATATTCTGTTTTGGTGAATTGTTCACACTTCATCTCTGGCCCATTGTGGTGCGTTGTTAGCTCGAGCAGATACACAGCGATTTCAGGACACCACGGGTATGAATATTAATGACACTGACTGCAAAAAAGAACAGTGCCTAACCGAAACGATGGGTTCCTAAAATGTACCATTGAAAGCGTCTGTGTTAGGTATCCTTTGAAACAGGAATGTGAAACACGCTATGGCAACCCAGCCTTTTTAGAATTAGCGTCTTTTTCTTGTTTATGGTCTAACTTCACCCGGTGTTAGTCTTGACTATATAAGCGTTTATTTCATCTGGATAGTTACTCAGTTCCCAGCCGTCTGCTTACGCGGCGAGTAACAGCGGGCATACAGATTTACACCTAACCTCATATATCTCAGATTGTATCAGGTCATTACGTTCATGTGGTGTATCGGAATCCCTGTGAAAATTACTATATTTCTCCCTGTAGTTCAACGAAGCTTCCTCTGATTGAGAATGAAATGTATTTATAGCACATTGGTTCGGTTTTTGACTTTTGCAGCGCCTCATAAAGAAATCTTTACACAGTTTTGATCTTGTTAACATTAATATCATAGTGCTGAGTATGATCACTCAGTGCATGTGTTCGTGTGCAGACCAGTGAAAGGAACGACAATGTCTCCACTGATGGGTGAATGATATCTCGTGGCTTCTCCGTGGGAAAGTTTTTATCCCTTCTATTAAGCACACCCTAGAAATGGAAGGCGACGCAGGCGTAAAATCTTCTACTGCACTTTTCTAATGAATCGGAACAATAAACTCTGTTTATTACAGATTGTGGTGCAATTCCGACTCACCTCATCATCTATCACATCAGCTGGAAGAATACGACAATCGAAGACGCCAAGGAGTGTCACAGTAAGTACCCCGGAAGGTTGATGCCTCTTTGTGGTGCATTTATGTTATTTCTGCTGAAAACTACAGGGTGAAAAGTTCACTCCATAATCGGCATGCACTAGTCGATTGGGATCGTAGTGGTCTAACAGGTACGAAAGACTTCAGTTCCTTAGGTAATGCAAAAACTTTAGGAAACAAGAACTCTTAGTCAAGACACATTACGAAGAACGATATAACTGTTTTGAACGTCGGACAAAGTAGGAGCAGATGCTCAATCATAATTCCACGGTACATATCAAGCTTTCAACCAATGTGGATGGCAGCGTACACAAGCAGAAGTAGCACAACCAAAAATCGGGACGCTGTGAGCGCGGATTTCGAAGAACTATACTCTAGTATGCTTTTCGTCAGTTCAAACAAAATGAACAAATGGTTTCGTGATAAAATTGATTAAGCGGACGAAAAATATAAAGCACTTCCCCCGCACCTAGCACATGTATGGGCGATGTAACCATTAGAGTTGATTGATTGGCGTTTGAAACAGCGGAAGCATGTGTCTATCGGCACGAATTTATAGCACTAAACAGCACCTCATTCGACCTTGATCTCAATCAGTTTTCGGATCATAATGCACTGCAAAAAATAAATGCGATGGACCCGAATGAGGCACGCACAATTTGTATTAGAGGCAATAGAGTGTGCGTGAAAGCCACTATCCAAATAAGATATACGGAAACAGCGATACCTGCGGGTACCATTCGTACGCTTTATAACACACACAGTTGATTTGTAGACGTTTCACTACCGATCTTAACGACAGTACTAGGCGCTTTGCAATGTGTGCGTTCTTTACATGCAAACTTTATCATGCACATGAATAGAAAAATGCTATCACTTAGGAATGCCATTAAGAAGGCTAATTCGAAGGTTACGGATTTAAATGTTAACTTTGCCAAAAATTAGATTGCGCACCGGTAAATTCGCTATGATGTCCATGCAAACACAGGCATGAAGCCGCTTGCCTCGATTTTATGGGAACGCTGGTCCGGGCAAGGTTCGTCAGCAAACACGTTGGTTCTTTGTGCGCTATCCAATCCGATTCATTTCGAATGTAGCGTTCCACAAGGAGAAGTAATGGAGCCACATCTGTATCGCGTTTAAACTATTGAGCTTACGCGGTTGGTTCCTTCTGATTTCTTCTTGTTCACTGATGAGGTTAAGATGTGGTGGTCGATCGCCGACAAAGGAAATCACGATGCACTTTAGCGAGACCTGGACAGGACCTATGAATATTCAATCCATAAACCACTCCTATTTAATTCATCCAAACGTAACGTGATTCTCATTCATCACCAGCCGAACATCATAAGCAAGCTGGGTGACCATGTCTTTCAAGCAGTCATCCAGGAGCGCGACCTTAGGAAATTAATCCATATTGATCCGAGCTGCTCAGAACAATCAGGGAAGGTATCAGAGACTGGAAACCAACACATTGGCATTCTACGCTAGGCATTCGGGCGGCTTGATCCCTCTGTCTGTTCGCCGTTGCTTAACACATACGTGCGGCCTCATGTGGAATACACAAGCTAGGCCTGGTAGCCCTGGCAATATCAATATCTCGCATCGCTCGGGACTCTACCGTAAAGAGTCACCAAGCAAAATGTCGGTTGTTCCGCCTGTGATATCAAGTTATCTTGAGGATTTTAAGATTGTACAGTGGTCAGTGACTGCCTATGTGAAGACTAAATAATGGCCTACCAGAGTTTGTGGAACCCCAGTCACGTCGGCTGCCACCTACAGCAACTCATTCACAAC